TCAGACAATCTTGCTTTTAAACATTCTTTCAACTCATTGACCATTTCTACTTCAGCCCAATTCCACTTAAACTTTGGTTCTAAAGTAGCAGCTAATTTCATGTCTGAAGATTCAAAATTTGTATCAAACCTATAAATGAAATATTTTATAAATTATATTTAAAATTAATAAAATTTCATTAATCAATTTCAAAATCATTAATCACCGTTTTGTTAATCCACTGATCAGCACTTCAACTAATGGCTTGCAATATTTTAGGTTTCCATGCAATATAAGTTGATTTAATGATTTTTTTACAGCTGTTAATGTAGGGAGAAGATAACCAATAGAAATATATTTTTCTCCTTGCAGTATATCTAAAGCTTTTGCAATAGGTTTCATAACCTAGAAAAATTAAAGATCAAAATATAATAGTTTATTTATCAAAGCATATTGAGATTGTCTATTGGTTAAATCATTACTGCTTTAGGGGTTAATAATACTATCAACATTTATATTATAATTAAAAGTTACTTTGCAATATTCAGTCAAAAAATCTGTTTCTTGTGGTTTACTTAGGCAAGGCAACTGAATATCAGTACAAATATTCTCTACTTCATCAAAGTGGCTTATAATAAAACTCAAAGAGTCATACAAAGCATTCCAACTACAAAAACAAAAAGAATAACTAATAGGCATATTCAAAATAAAGATATTAATTATATAGATGTATACTATGATAGTTAGTCATTTTAAATACCGTGTATCATTTGGTGTGATTAAATATCGACCTAGATGATTTTTAATTTTATCTGCCACCAATGTACTCATATTTTGTTTATTGAAAAGTGCATTACACTTTCCAAAAGCCCTTCTACTTATTGTTTTATATGGTCCATCTTTGATTTGTAATTTATTCACATCATTCGTGGCCAGCAAATTGAATGTATGCGAAGCACAGCGCAGTTGTTTAGGCAGCCTAAAATGTCTTTCTTCCCCTTCACTTAAAATTTCAAAAATATCCGTTGAATATATAAGTGAATCATTTTCTGGAGTTTCTATTTCATCTTCAGTAGTGCTATAAAGTCTAATGAAAAAATTGTAATTGTAATTATGATATAAGTAAGTAGGCATGTAAAAAGAAAAATACTACTTTAAGTAGGTATGAGTAAAACAATTGTCTCACAATACAATATTTAGAAGATGTCAGTTCACTATTTGTTTAAAAATTAAAATACCAAATAATAAAAATGGTTAGCCGATTCTCTTCTTTTATTCTTTTAATAATAAATATTTATTATACCTGAATGCCTTAGCAAAGTTTGATGCATTATCTGTAACCATATAGGTTACTTTTGTATTTATTTTGTATTCATTCAACACAAGTTCAATCATATCAGCTAGAACATCATATGTATGTTTACCAATTATACGCCTACAAGCAATGGCATTCGACTTGCGTTCAAAGGTGAATGGATCAATCCAGTGTGCAGTAAAGCCCATATAAGACCTACCAAATAATGAAATAAAATAAATTACAAGCATTAGAAGTGTGTAAGTAACAATGATTTGTGAATAGTTTGAATAGATTGTGATTAATTTAAAATATATATATATTATAATACGAAGGTACCTAAGTAGTTGAAAAAAGACATGATGATAGGACTGGTAGGTAGGTATTATTAAAAAGTAATTTTATTTAAAACTGTTGCATTAATATAGTAAAAACTAGAGAAAAAGCTGATAAATCAAACAGGAAATATTTTTATATGTACTAAAACATTTACCTTCTGAATGCAGTCCAGCAATCTGCAGTAACACATACATATTCCAAATCATTAAACTTTTTGATAATTGAATTTTTCATTTCTTCAAAACTTGAATTAATATTTCTCATCAATGTTCTTCTAGATACTGGTACCATTTGTGCCACAGTATTAGTATATTTGAGGAATGCAGGATGTTCAATGAATGAAAAAGGGGACACCGTACTAATTATTAATTCCATGTTGGCTCTATCAAAAGTAGCTTGAGATAACTTAGTTTTTTTTTTTTTAAATTCATGTAAATTTAATTGTTTCAATGTACTCGGTTTATCTTGATTAAGTGATCTTTTTTTAACCATATCATTAAACTTATCTAACATAGATTTATGTGTACTCTAAAAAAATCAAACAATGACAAGTATAAATATATAATCTATAATTATTAATTAGTAATTTTTCAGATTTAACCATTAACAAAAATAATAAAGAACCACCTTTTATTTTAATGGCTAAATAGCTTAGGCCATATCTAGTCATAGTAACTAATTTGCTGGTAGGCGGGTGATTATTTATTCATTTTTCAAGTATATGTTATTAATTTTTTTAAATAATAATCAGCAAATGTATACTTTAATTGGACAAATAATAACCATACAACCATGCCAGTAAGTAGAAGAAAAAAATTTATTTATTAAAAATAATTAAATATATTCCAAGATTAAATTTACCTTAATATGTGCT